CCAGGAAGCTGCTGCTGCTGCTGCTGCTAGCCTCGTTGCCCTCGCAGCTGCTGCTGCGCCTGCGCAAGCGGGTCCACTGAAGCCCTGCCACGCCCTAAACCCCAAACCCCTAAACCCTCAACGCTAAGCCCTAAACCCTAAACCCTAAACCCTACGACTTGTTGCAGCAAGCGTCCCTGGAGAACAACTAGCAGGACTTTTAAGCCCTCGAGTGAGGGAAATGGTATTAATATTTTGGCCCGCTGCTGGCGTGTGGGGCCCCGCGAAGAGCTGCTGCACACACCCAGGGCGCGGGGCCTCTGGGGGCCTGAAGCCCGCCGCTAGCCGCTGCAGCTAGCTGCAGCAGCTAGCTGCAGCTAGCCAGCAGCAGCAAAGGCTAGCTGCTGCGTTGTGTGCTGGCTAGCGGGCCGGCTGCATGCATGCTGCGAAGGACTGCGCGCGGAGGCCCCAAGGTGACCAGTGGAGATGTCTCGGGTGCGTGGATTGCGCGTTTTTTGCGTTATTTTGTCTTAATGCCCTTTTCTTTTGCGGGAATTTGCTGAAAAGTCTCGAACAAAGAATTAAATGCATTTTTTTGGCCGATTGCGAGCCAGTTTCCGCCGTCGAAGCAGCAGCTGCTTCAGGACTCTGTCCGGTGCGGAGCGTCGCAGGCTGCAGGGTTGTGCGCGCGGTGGCGGCGCCGGCCGAGTTGTTTGTGCGGGGAAAAAGAAAATAAAATTGAATTTGAAATGTGAAAAGGGAAATACAATTCTCGTTTGAGGGCTTTTTCTCGCCAGTCGCCGCAGCAGCACTCGACGCGCCGGCGCCACCGCGGCACACCGGCGGTCAGCCGAGACACCGGTTGACGCCAGCTTCCCCGCTTTTTCTCCCTGTTTTTCCTTCTTACATTTTGCAAAGGAACTTTTCCTTAAAACTGACCCATTTGGCCTTCTGCTGCTGTTCCCGGCCCGCGCGAAGCGCCGCTGCTGTGCCCTGCAGCTCCCGCGGCCGGAGTTCTGCAGCCTTCTGAAAACAATGCATGTGGTGTCTTTACAGGCCGCGGATTTCAGGTGTACGTACACTTCAGGAAGGAGCCTTCGAGCCTCTTGAGCGGCGCCCTTGGCGGCCGTGGGCCCCGCGTCTCTGGGGGGGCATATCCTTCGGGTCGGAGAGCCCGAGAGGGGCCCCGGGGGCCCCCCAAAAGCCCTTTTTGGCGCCTTGCTGCTGCCCAAATGAGCTGCTGCACTTGCGAGTGCGCGGAAAGCCGCGAGGCCGACACTCTGGTGGCCCGGGAGCAGCAGCCCGCGCAGCCGCTGCAGTTCCTCGTGGCGGGAAAATCCATTCAACATCCCCAAAAGGCTCTCTCGAGGTCCATCAATGGAGATGCCTTTGCAATGGACCACCATGTCCGCGCCACCAGCACCACTGGTCACCCCAGCCGCTGGGGCCCCGCTCAGCCCCCACTTTGCAGCAAACTGCTCTTCTCTTCGCAGCGAATAGTTCTTCTCTTAGCAGCAAATAGTCAGCAGCAAATAACTCTTCTCTTAGCAGATAATAAGTCTTCTCTTAGCAGCAAACTGCTCCTCTCGTTGCAGCGAATAGCTCATTGTTTTAGCAGCAAATAGCTCTTCTCTTAGCAGCAAATAGCTCGCTATTTTGACAGCAAACAGCTCCTCTTTTAGCAGCAAACAACTCTTTTCTTAGCAGCAAAGTGCTCCTCTTTTAGCAGCAAACTGGTCTTGTCTTGGCAGCAAACAGCTCACTATTTCAGCAGCAAACGGGTCTTCCCTTAGCAGCAAATAGCTCATTCTCTTAGCAGCAAACAGCAGCAAGCATCTCTTCTCTCCGCAGCAAATGGCTCTCCTTTTAGAAGCAAACAGCCTTCTCTCTTAGCCTCAAATAGCTCTTTCTCTCAGTCTTAAATAGCTCTTTCTTTAGCTTTAAACAGCTCTTCCTCCTAGCCTTAAGGAGCCCCTTCTCTCAGCCTGAAACAGCTCATTCTGTTGGTCTTAAGTAGCTCCTTCTGCTGGTTTTAAGCAGCTCTTTCTGTCAGTCTTGAGCAGGAGCTTCTGGGTGAGGAGCAATATGTGGGGTGTTTTGTGTGTGTGGTTTGCTGCGGAGGTTTTGGGGATTGCGGACGGAGTGAGCACAGTAGAAGACGAGGGTTTAGACCCTTCGGAGTTGCCTGCGGAGTTGCTGGAGTTGTGTGTGCGGGAGAGCCGAGCGCGACTTCAGAACGGGGCTCTATTTGAGCTGGAGACTGAGGAGGCGCTGGGCCCGTTGGGCGTGCTGGGCCCGGCGGGGCCCC